TCAAAATGACAAGGGATTGATTTTTTCCGTTTCCGGAGGTTGATTTTCCCGGGAAATTTTGCCTCCTTTTTCCACCTCCTTCTCTCAACTTCCGCGGTGAGTTTCATTCTTCCTATTCCCTCGGTCCTCTGTTTCGTAGAAATTTTCTTTTCTGTAAGATTTCCCTTTTTTAATGTTGATCGAAAACTACCAAAATAATGAATGTTATTAAGATATTTATCTTATTGCCTGGAAGATTTATGTATAAAACAAAGGAACTTTATATCTTTCATTTTTTTTTGGGTTGTTTTATCGTTTATTTCAGGAACTTTTCTATGTGATTGAATGATCCAGGAGGAATTTATATAGCTGGTTGCTGGAGTCAGAAATGAAAGGAAGGAAAATTTAAGAGGATCTGCATTGTTCAAGAGAGAATCAGAATTTTAATTTTTTTCATTATTTAGCGTAGATTTTTTTTTTTAACTTTTAGTAAATAACTAGGTTGCTTGAATTTGAATGAATATATTGCCACATGGAGTCAGAAATATTTTCGCCTCCAAGAGATTTGGTAAAATGTTGTAATTGCAGTTGTACTACCTGTGCTTTGATTGGTGCTGGTTCGAATGCCTGGTTTCGGTCTGTGAAGCGAAAATATGATGAGTTTGAGACTGGAAACAGCTTTTTTGTTCTGGGGCTTGATCTTTATTCCAATGCCCGAGTCCAAATTGAGAATGAATGTGCTGCTTTGCGGGAGACTGTCAGCAGCCAACAAGCAACAATACAGGATTTGTTTTCTGAATTGGAGGAAGAGAGAAGCGCCTCATCTTCAGCCGCAACTGAGGCCATGTCAATGATATTGAAGTTGCAGAGGGAGAAGGCAGAGATTGAAATGGAGGCCAGACAATTCAAGCGTTTTGCCGAGGAGAAAATGTCGCATGACCAGCAGGAGATAGAGGTTTTGGAGGATCTGTTGTATAAAAGAGAGCAGATTATTCAAGCTTTAACCTGTGAAGCACAGGCATACAAGCATAGGATGTTGAGTTATGGATTTACAGAGGAAGAGGTTGAAGGTGAGAAGGATGGACAGACGTGGCAGCCGAGTGTGGCTGAGGACTTCGAGGACGAAGCTGATCTTCCTGCATATGATTATCCTCCTCTAAAGTGCAATTTGAATGAGAATCCTGGTAATGATGTCGACGATGTTGAAGACATTGAAAAATATGCATTTGGTGAGACCCCTCGTGCTCGAGAACACTTGAGGAATCTGGAAGAAAGGATCTCCCAAATGGAGAGGAATCCCAGCGGCAGCCAGCTGGATGGAGAGATTCCTGGAACAAGGAATGTTTATGAGAAGGTGGTAGTCGGCCACTCTCCTAGGCGACCAAGACATTCAAGGAGGCATTCAGCTGATAGTACAAATTCGTTCTTTTCTAGGGAGATGGGTTCAGAGTTTATCAGTGATTCGCCAAGGTTTAACTTTGGCTCGCCCAGGTATAATACTAGCTTCAAGAAGATGGAGTTAGTTTCTGAAATGGACAAGATTTCTACCACACGAAGAATGGATAATGTTTCAGAAGTTGGAGATGATATGAATGACAGAGTTTATACAATTGATTCTGTCCATAATGGGATGCCATGTAATGGAACTGCTGAGCACAAACATGGACTTGGAATTTCTGATAACTATGCATCCACTCCAAGTGAGACATTCAATCAACCTGATGTTTGTGATCTTGATATCAAGAAGCTGTACATGAGACTTCAGAACCTTGAGGCTGATAGGGAATCAATGAGACAAGCACTGCTATCTATGCGAACTGACAAAGCACAGTTGGTATTATTGAAAGAAATAGCTCAACATTTGTGCAAGGAATTGTCACCAGGAAAACAAGTGGCTGTGAAGCCATCTGTTCTCGGAAGCCTCTTCAAGGTAATCTCTGTTTATGTGTTGTATTATGGTCGAGTTCTCTTATGACATTTTCATGTCTGTATCCTTTTCACTCTTGAATTTCATGTTGCTTTATTGCTGACAAGTGCAATATGGTTTAGTTTCACTATTCCGTCCACTTTATTCTGGTATTATTTTTGTTCCTGTATGTCAATCAACCGTTTCAGGTTCAAATTTGGGTTGTAATTTATCTGAAACACATCTTTTGAATGTTAATCTAATATTGTTGGAAGCATCATAAACATAATATTCTAATTAATTATCAATAGAGCTCTTCTGTTTTTCCCATTATCTTCACACCTTGTTTTTGTTTTGATATATTGCCTCAGTGCCACTTATTGTCTTTTGATGGTTTATTTATTTCTTTTTGTCAGTGGATTACGTCTTCTATTTCTTGGAGGCGAAGAGCTCGCCGAAGCAAGTAAGTAGAATAATTGTCATCTACGTAATGAATATATTAATGCATTTTACGACATAGTAAAGTTGAAATTAGTTATTCTGGTGCAACTGCAGCAGAAAGAAATGTAGTCTTTAACATTCATCATTTAAGGCCATAGCCTCTAATAGTTTGACCCTGAAACAATAGAGAGACAGATTTTCTGAGGGAACGTGTACTTGATATATTTTATGTTGGAAATTGATATCCTAGAGAAAGTTAATGCCGGCGTTAGAAAATCGTCGTTTATATCTTTAACTTTATAGGTACCTGTACGGATTGTCACCGAACAACACTGGCTTGCTAATGGTTTTGGACAAGGGCCCTCGACTTAGGCAGTGGAGATGCCTTTCAAGCACACAAGTGTGAAAGAATGTCACATTCTTTCACTCGAACATGTAGATGAAGCCCTATAACAATAACTGTGAATGCTGAATGGGTTTTTGATGAAGCTATCACGTGTTGGCTTAGCATCCAGTTTTTGACGGCAGCAGAGTTTGGTATATTGTGCAGTGTTCTTTTATTTGAGTTGGTTTTTGATTTCTTTTAATTTTTGGGGATTGAATACATGGTCGATGAGCAAACCGTGGATGGCTGTGAGCATATATTTTGTTGGGTTTCCGTTTGAGGTATTTTGGGCATAGGCTCTCTTTTATATTTCAGATTCATGTAATGCAGTTTTATCCTGTTTATAATTCAAGCTATTGGTTATTTCCTATGGATATTCTTGTTTTTAATTCAAGTTTTATTCCTACTCTCTTGGACTTGGTGGGCGGTTGCAGTGATCTCTCTTGTTTTTAATTCAAGTTTTATTTAGGTTCATAATAGGTCAGGTTCATAATAGGTCGGGTAATATCAGTTATTTACTAGGTTAATCTCGGGTTTGGGTTCATTTTAGTCGGATGCAGGTCATGTTCGATTATCATATTATCGGTTCAATTCGGGTTCATGTCATTCTCAAAATGGATGCATGTCAGGTTCATATCTGCAATTTCCACGTCTATCTTGGATCCAGGTAAACATCAGTTAAGATTTGAGTCGGTTTCATATTACCACCGCTCATGTCACAAATAATTTTGAATTGAGTCAATTTTAATCAATTTTTCTGTTCGGGTAAACTTTTTACTTCCCTGATTTTTTATATACAGTGGGTGGGCAGTCAAACTAGGAATAGAGGGGAAAATTGCCCAAAATCATTCAAACTTGAAAGAATCAAATTCGGACAGCTCAGTGGCTGAGGTATGTTCAAACCCTTGTAAGAATCAATCAAAGGAAAATCTTATGTCTGAAAAGGATATGTAAAGTCCCTAAACGGCTTAGTCTGAAAGCGGTGTTCAAACCCTGAAATGTTGTCGTTTTGGCAACTAACCTGCATACCCGACCCGGGACACTCATAGGATCCACATATTTCGAAGTTTATGCATAAATTGTAGGCTTGACCCTTCTGTTTTTTATATTTATTCAATTTAGTCCATTTTAACATGATTTAATTGTTGTTTTAGTCCTTTCAGTATCTGCTTATTTAATTTAATCCTATTTTGTATGAGTAATTGCATATTTAAGCTTTAGATTCTGGGTTTCGCTCGAACATGTCTTATTATATAGCTAAGGTTTAATAATTAGATCTCTAATTCATTAAATTAGCTAGCAATCGAGCTTAATAAGCTTAGCTTGTTTCAGTTAGGTCCTTAACTCATTAAATTTAATTAATAGTCAAGGCTGATAGGTTCAATTTCTTTTGATAAGGTCCTAAATTTGGTTAATAAGATTCTCTATTATATCTTGATTGACTTTAATCTGACCCTTGATCTAAAACTCATGAATTTGATTTTAGTGTCTTAATTGACTTCAATTCAATATTTGTAATAAGATTCCAAGTATCGAACATCTTAATATTTTTAATTCAATTTTAATCATGTTTATTGTTCTTCATTTTCTTAGTATCCTCATCTTCATAGCCATTTTCTTTTTCTCAGACAATATAACCTTTTTAAGATACTTGTTCATAGCATATAATCAATGACAATCATTTTAACGATCTTTTCAAAAATCCGACATTTTTAGCCATACCTAAAAATGCTTTCGGTGATAATTTTAATAGGACAAAAAAATAATTACTTTTCTTTAAATTAATTATTATAACCAAACAAATCATTACATCTTATCGTAAACGACAATTTCAACGATACAAACATAGACGTTAAATTATCATATTTATGTGCATTTTCATTAAGTCCATGAACTCATTGTTTCACAATTCAACAGATTTAATTGATAGCCAAATCAATTTTCTCTGTTTGTTTACTGAAAATATTTTTTGAAAAATATTTCACCAAAATATTTCTTACAGAAGATCAAACGTAAGTCAATTTTCATAAAATGCAAAGGAAATTTTGTTGATCATGAAATATTTTGTATTGACCAACCAATTTTCCTCCAACCAAACACTAAAACAAGGAAAATATTTTCCAGAAAATATTTACATGAAACAAACAGACCCCTAAAAACCAACAACGTTTAATTACACACAAAAACACATCTATTTTTGGCTAAGGATTATTCGCAGGCCGTTTCTCACATCAAAACACTCTTGCAATTAACAAAATGTAGCTGTAGCAGAATAAGTTTTAGAAAGGGCAAAACCAAACATTTCATATAAAACAAATAACATTAATAAATTACGCGGTCAAATATACCCCTCACCCCCCAGAGATGTGAGAGCATTATATAATGTCATACAGGGGTGAGAGACAATATATGAACCATCACAGTATTTCAACTCCTTTAGTAAACCAGAATTCAAATGAGGGGAAACAATAGCTTCAGGAACACCAAAGGAGTAGCCTATTATTTCTTGTGTATTTTCATCAGACGTGGCTTCGCTACTGCCGGCTATCTCACACAATGTCCCGAGAGCAGTATTTAACCCAACCGATGTATGCTCAGTTGTAAAGCTGAAGACAATCCATATAACATCAGGCAAAATTTTCATTGACTAATGCCACAGCTTTATATTCTTTTTTTTTCATTTATGCTCCACTTTTACCGTATGTTACCTGATTCTTAATTCTCCATTAAGTATTCATACTTATTTCAGACATATTCAGGCATGGATACAGGGACATTATCGTCTAAATATATGAAAATTTTAGAAGAAAATTGAACCTAACAATGTTGGATACATATCCAGTATCCAACACTCATCCTTAAGTTATGCAATGAGTTGATAACTTCAAGGTACTTTTATCTACTATGAAGAGAAAAAAAATGCTTCAGTAGGTTTAATTATCGATTACCTTGACTCCTGTAGCTAGCAGATTAATCTACATAATGAAGATCTATTATGTGCTTGGTTTTAAAAAGCGTAAAGCGCCCTAAAGCGCCTAGGGTCCTAGACGCCGAAGCGCTAAGCGCTAAGCGAAAGCGCTCGTTTTATGCACACGAAGCGCCAGAAAAGCCGAAATTCACAAAAAAATATAGAATATTTACAAATTAACGTATAAATACTTAAATATCAAAGTGTCAATGCATATATTCAAAACTTATAAGTACTTAAACCCCAAAATATAATTCTCAATTTACTTATAAGTTATAAATACTTAAATACTTATATACCATTAACCATACGACTATACGAGCATATTAATCTCAAAAGATGGTCTACACCAAAAGTAGTCTAAAGTGAGATGAACAAAAGTATTTTTCTAAACCCTCAATTCCTTATAACTAAAAATCCTCTAAATCGTCATCATCATCAACTCGGACAACACCATCTCCTTCATCACTAGACACTCCAATATCTTCTTCCATCTCATCTTCATCAACTAAGCATCTACGAGATGGTCTACTAGAGATAGGATTATGAGCAGGAGATTTTCCTTTATCATTCCGCGATGGTCCGGCTAATGAGATTTTCCTGATAATCTAATAGCCCGCTAAACCCTAAACAAGCCCAAAAATCGTATCTGCTAAAGCCAATAATCGTATCTTCTAAACTCGCGATTAAGCGCCGATTAGCGCTTTGCTAAAAGCACTGCAAAAGCGCTGATTACTACCGCTTAATGAATTCGTAGTGCTTTTGCTATGCTGAAGCGCCAGGGGCCTCGCTCGAGTTGCTTAGCGCTCGCGCTTTTTTAAACACAGATTATGTGACCTACACTACATCTATGAAGGAGGGGGACGGCAAAGGAGCCCCGTTTCCGGCACGGGGACGGCTGGGGTACGTTCCAGGGACGTCCCACAGTGGCAGCGTACGGCTGACCGAATTCGGAGACGGTCAATGCTTATCTGGGGACGTCCCCAGGGGTAATTTTGGTTTAAAGCAGTCTCGTTTTTACTTACACCATTTGCAGTGGCACCCTTCTCGCCCTGGTTTCTTCTACTTTGCTTTCAACAATGGCTCTCTCAAAACACGCCAAGGCTCTCACAAGCTCTCCATTAAAGCATCTCCAGCCATGCCTCCAGGAAAAACTGCCACAACCCCTTCACCGGAATTGCCTCCAATCGGTTCTTTCAAGGTTTGTGAAAAGAAAGAAAATAAATAAAAAGGAAGAAGCGGACGCGGGGGAGAAAGAAGAGTTAGAATATAAAGAATTTTTGGTATAATTGTCAATTGTTCCCTGAGCTTTCTAGGGCTTTCGAATATGTAAACAAGTTTTGCAGTATTTTTAAATTGGCCACTAAAATTAATTTAGGGATTTGGAGAAAAATTCTCAAATTTTAATTAGAGTTAAATTAAGGTGTTACACCAATTTTCCATGAATTATTGACTTTATTTATGATTTCTTACATCTATTTATAATTTTAAAAAAAATTATATGGCATACCCTGTAATTTTAGAAATTGTCGTTTCCCGTCCCCGTATCCATCCCCTGCTAAGATATCTGATAGAATGCAATAATTTGATCCAAGGAAATGAATGTATAGTAACCATACCTTGCTTCAAAGCGTTGCCCTTTAGAAGACATTTGAGCACATATGTTGCTGATAATCCAAGGGGGAATATATGAATCCTTGATTTCAATGCTATAACAAAGGCCACTAGATGAAATCGGAATGGAATGTCCATCTTTCAAGATGGATCCTTGGGGAACAGAAGCACCATGATCAGCCATTTTAATCTCCATGCATTTAACCTTAACATAAAAATGGACATAGAAACATATAAACCAGGTTATACAACAAGTGGCAAGAAACTACGATAAAGCTTTCTATATTAATCCTTATTTTATATGCCAAGAAAAATATTATATATATGCCAAACAGCTACTATTTAGAATCATCACGGGGAGTGACCAAATTATGTGATTGAATAAACAATTCAAACTTACAACCAACAAAAGCTAAGAAGAAACAAAAAGATTATTTCTGGCAATGTCACTGACCTCAGGGGCAGAAAGAGTAGCATGCTGAAAAGGAATAGGAGAATATAAGACAGGAACATCCACAGCATTCAGAAAGGTCAAGAAAGATCTAAAGACAAACAAACGGAAAATAGTCAGATATATTGGCAACCGGCAAGTCAATGCAGATAAAAGAGAAGTATCATCCCTTTCAACATGAGAATTCTTGAAGCCATATATCAGTTTACCAAACAAGCCTCAATTTTTTTAATTGGCGGAAGGAACTTACCTATAATTTAACAAAATCTCATACAAACCATGTACATTCTGATTTCCAACGAAAACCAGTAATGACTGGGGAGTATTATCAATATCAGAGAAGGAATTGGTGCGTCGAGTCTGCAGCAAATTCAACAGATCGGGGATAAATACTGAGCATAAGAAAAGTGAACAGATGTCCCAAATAATTGAGCAAAAGGGTGTAATCGTTACACCAAAGTTTTATTTCAGTTAGCATCCTCTTTAGTAAAACACAATCACGTAGGAGATGAAAGAAGTTTCTACGAGCTTTCAGTTGCAAGTGGAAATATTTCTATTTTCTTTTAAAATTGTCACAAGTCAAATAATACAGATTTTAACTTGTAATTGACGTAACCAACTTAGTGCATGCAGGAATAAAAAGGGAAAGAAAGATGAAAATGGAAGGACAAACAAGAATATAGCACATTTAGATCAAAACACTTGAATCTTTTAAAAGAAACGGATAACTAGTTTTTATCAAGAAGTTAACAATTCCGGAACAAAAGCAAGTGCAGCAACTCAACCAACCATCATACTGTCTGTCCGATTTTTTATGTTCCCAATATTGCACCAAAATGCATTCCATGGTCAAATACCAAGGCAATAACTCAATCAAAAGCCAAATTAAGACTATCAGCTCAAGATGTACATACCTGACCCAACTTGTGCTTCTCGATTTCTGAAAGCTCTAAGAGAACCTCAGTAGTCACATGTTCTACTTGAGAATGGCAAAGAGGCATAGAAAAAGAAACATCCTAGGAAACATAATTGAAAACCAGTAGAGGGAAAACGTCAGCATCTCACATTTAATAAAGCAAGAAAATTAATTAAAATGGTTATAAATGACCAGCATAGGAGTTAAATATAATTTCCAATTAAAACTACAGTTGATTTATACAACCTCTATACCTTCCAGATAAAAAATAAATAAATTACAGGGAGAATATCCCATTACTCGTATACCCTCTTCTACAGTCACAAGTTGGGTCGGCAACAGCTTGCATCAATTTTCAGACTTTAGAAATATTGAAACAAGTATTGCTTTGGTTAATATTGCTTTAACTATTACTATCAGTCCAGTATTTTATCGTTACAATATCACCAGGAAAACTGACCAAGTCCCATAGCTATAAAACCATAGCTAGATGTGTCAAAAAAGACATCTTGTGGTTCTCATTCTCCACCTCAGTATCACACTTATTAAGTTATGATGAATTGGATCAGTGTCATTAGATAAATTTTAATTGAATAAATCTGAAAATGAAATAAAAGGAGAATTTAGGATAAAGCATTTATATACTAGCATAATCACTTCCTTATACAAAATGCCAACAAGCTATATGCAAAGCATATTGCCACCATTGCAGTTAATATCATATTCATATGACCAGGATACAATTACAGAAAATCTCTAGAAGGCCGTGTAATACTTTTCATTAAATATGGTTTTCCACAGTTTATAGTAATCAGGATTAACATCACTACCCAATAGTTTAACTAGTTAAGAGTGGCGTCTTACTTGCTCCTTTAGTAATGACCTCAAACCTCTGGTTGACTGAGAGATATAAGCATGGTATGACCTTCTACTTCTTCCCGAGTCATCAGTAGCAGTGAACATCACCACAAAATGTGAAGTGCACACTAGAAAGTTTCAAACAAAATCATTACCAAGATTACAAGATATAGCTTATACTTTTAGACAGATAATGCAAGTGAGAATAATCCAACATAAAACTTAAAGCAGAATTTACAGTCGTGAAAAGAAGAAAAGACAAATTGAAATTGAGGAAACAAAGTAGGATTGAGGTCTTGGCGGATGGAGAGGGCATCGTATGTGTTCTTCAAAGAACTCAGTGGCCCATTGCAAATATTATCCTGATTAAGTATACACATAAGATGTGCAAGGTATTTAACAACAATGAGACAGAAGCAAAATAGAATTAAACAAAAAAAAATGCAAGCATTTCGAGGCGTGCAGTCATAGGTATGGTGTGCATTAAATAAAATATTGTGATGTTCTAATGACAAGAGAAAACATCATCCTCATAACTTGGTTCAATCAACAGTGCAAGAATATTGGAGCATGGTTTGAAAAGTGTTGCAGATAAGGAAAAAGTCATAAGCATGAAAAATATTTACCATAAAAGATGCTACAAACATTTTCCCGAAACATATAGTAAAGACTCCGAAATGATTCCTCCCATACCCCGACCCGCTTTCTTAAGAAATCCATTTCAGCTGGAGAACAAGTGACAACACCAGTTAAATAACTTCAGATAAGGGGAGAAATGGGGAAGCAATACTCTGGACGTGTGTTTTTGTTGGTGTACAAACTACAAACAAGAAGGATTGAGAGAGAATTCAACACAAAAGTTTCATTAAAGAAACCTCCATCTGCTGCTGCTGAGATCAGTACTGAAATGAGAGACGGTGGTAGGGTAGATTGAGGATAAATCCAAGAATGTAATGTATTAGAATTCAACACTTGGGAAGCCAGTCTGGTCTGAGAAGCACTGCTAATATTTTGGTCTTCAAAAGAACCAGAACGTGGTGTAAATTGAGGCATACCATTATATGTGCCAGACATCATTGACCTATGTAACCTGGAAACACAAAACAATGTTAAGCTTGTTATACACACACACACACACATATGCGCAAAATAAACAGGACTAAAAAATGAACATAGAGGTCATATCTCCAAGTAGAAGAAATATAACAAAAGTACATTAAGAAAAACAACAGGTTTATTCACCAATTCACCGAGGAGGAGGACACCAATCGCACATAAGTTTTCAGAGTAAAATCCAGAGGAATTTTCTTCCCCGTCACATTGTAATCAGAGCAGAAGTTCCCCTTTGAAAGATCATCAAATCTTTCAGAAGAGTCTGAAGGTAAGTTCGGGATTGCTTCACAAGCAGCTAGTCCTTTCAATGCTTTATCCTACAAAAGAACTGGTGGTTTATTAAGGGGAAAAATAATCCAAGTAATTGAAGCTTGAAGCTGCTAAAAGCATATACCATGTTAACAGTTGCCAAGCCTGATAACTTTTGGCCCCCTGATGAAAGCTCAGTAACACTGAGAAATGTACCCTGATTGCATTTTTCAAGTGTTCTATGGGCATTGGTCACATCATCTTCTTTTGGAACATCAACAGAAGCAACAAAACCCTCTGGACTGTAAAGCAACAATGTATAACCAATAAAATCAAACAACAAATCTAATTATTACATGACAGATATGTAGCACTAGAACTGACTGACATACCATGAAAGTTGTTTCCTTTTCTTGGCAGCCATACTTGAAAATGCAGATATTTTCTTTAGGCAGCTAGGTTGCTCAACTGAACTATTGTCCTGCTAAACAATAACATGATTGAACAAATCAATGAACTATTTATCACGTTATTACTAGTAAACTGCGTTAAGATGTTTCTATTAAATTCATATTCTGGAAATATAACCTTCGAATTTTCTTTTCCTGAAGGCAGTTTGAACCTTGGTTTCTTGGAAGGAAATACTTCATTCATACGAATGTCAATATATCTTGGATTCCTTTGTGGATCTGGTTTTTTGAGTCCATTCTCCATATCACTACCACAACCAATGGATAAAAACAAACTTTTAATATGCTTGCAACTTAATAATAAGTAAAAGGAACAGTAAATGAAGAGGCAAAACACTTGCCAAAAAAAGAAAAAGAGGAATAACAATACTTTACCTTGGGGCCAAAGATTTATGAACAAGCTCGGCAACATTTGTCATCTTTAACTGCTCCCCCTGTCAAATAAACACATTATAAAAGTATAAGACTAAAGTACAACTCCTCATAAAGTTAACTAAACTATTGTCTATTTAGCATCAATACTCCAAGTATTAAACCAAATAATGTAAAAGAAAGTATGGTTGAAAATTAAGAAAACGTGACAGAAAGGCACACAAGGTGAAAAGAGTAACTAACGGTCAGAGCTACGATTTAGTGGACTAAGGGAAAACTCAAAGCAGTGAGGTTTTCCGACAAATTACAAAAAAAAATGGAAAAAGCCATTGACTAGAAGAAGAAGAAACTAGAAACAAATAATACATTTATCTCTTTAAAAGGTACCCTTCTGCATTATCAAAACATCCTGACCCCATAAACAATTACAATGAACACAAACATATTCATAAACGATCATCAAAAGTGAAATACCCAATCCCAACAATGCTGGTAAAAGTTAGGAGGGAGGAAAACAATACTCTAAGTTCCGAAGGGGTCTTCCTTTTAACTGATGTTCCAATTTTGAGAGCATCCCCGCCAATTTGTTGCGGTGCAGAAGCTAAAGCACCAAGCGTAGCTACCTTTGCCATATTAGAGGCTCCACTCAAGCAGTATCGCAACTCCTTTACCTGAAACATCAATAGGACTACCAGAAATTGTGACGTTTTCTTCGTATTTGGGAGAACGGAACAGAAAACTCGCATTTTTCTATTGATAACAAAATAAGAAACAAATCAGAGTCTTACCACGGCGAAGAAATGCGTCAATAACGGATCAGAGAGAATCCAGGTATTCCCCAATCGATTAATAAACTAGGGTTTAGAAGGAAAAAAGTGGATGAAAGCGTAAGTGCAAGTCATGGACAGGGAGGGGGTGGGGGGAGAGGGAGAGAGAGAGAGTGCGGCAAAGTGGAAAGCTGGTTTATTTGTTTTTAAAAACAATTGGATTTTCCCTCCTACAACTGACGGTGTTATCAAATTCCCTATTTGTGCTCTTCCATAATTAAGGATAATATTGTTTAGGCTTAATTATAAAATAACTGTTAAAACTATATTGTTATTCTCAAATAGGTACTCAAACTTTTTTTAAATCATTTATGTGCCTAACATTACGAATGTTATCACTTTAGGTGTCTCGATTGTAACAATCAGTAAAAAAATTGTTAAATGACACGTGTCGTAATCTGATAAATTTGAAAATTTTATTTTAAAAATTTTAAAATATTATTATATTTGAAAAAAATAAACTGAACTTTTCTATTTTCCACAAAATACACCGCAATTCATAAAAATCTAATTTTCTATTTGATTGACGGTAAAGGGGTTATTGAAAGTGGAATCTAACAATTGACGGACGAGCTTCGACGATGAGATAATGGCGGTGGGTGGGTGGTACTGCGACAGAAGAGAAACACAAAGGAAAAGAAGATAAAGCGATGGTGCTACCCTTTGTCATCGATTATCATCGTTTGTTGCCGATTTGGGGTGGAATTAGAGATTTAGGGAGTTCAATTTTTTTGTATTCTAGATAAAAAAAAATGAGGTTTTTTCGAAAATTAAATATTTTTATTTTTAAAGAAAAATTTAAAATTACCATATTATGACATGTGTCACTTAACGGGTTTTTTAACGGTTATTACGACTGAGACACCTAAAGTGATAACGTTTGTAATGTCAGACCCCTGAATGATTAAAACAAAAATTGGACACTTTATTTGAGAAAAAGGGTATAATTTAAGCCTATCGTTTATTAAGGATGCTAATATTAATTGAAGGTAATTAAATGAAACAAAGTAATGTTTCTTGAGCTTAATATAAGTAACGCATTAACCAAACAATCAAACTATTAAGGGGAAAATGGAAACTATGTTTAACTTTAATAGATTGCTTTGAGTTCCCTTTAAAGCATCAGGCTCAAATCAGCCCTATCCAAAGAATTTGAAAATTTTTAACTGTTCATAAAAATTCTGCAAATACTCTCTAAAGAGTGCACGGCAGAAACTCGGCCATAAAGAGTGAAGCCCGTAGCATAATTAAGAATTTTAATATGACTAAATTCTCTTATATTCATATTTTGATCACGATCAAACAGATAATAATTAAGAATGTAAAAAGTATGATCTACATACAAGCTAAGAAACCTAGCCAAGTTGGAGACAGTTGAAGAATTTGGTCACCATGTTCCACCCCATTAAAAGCCAGCTTCGTCATTTGTGCATCGAACAAACTACCAGACGACGATCTGTCTATCACCCTGGCCGCCATGGATTCGTCACGATCATCTTCCCCTACCGCGTTCCAAGAAGAGGGTGATGGCGTCCATTATACGATTCTCCCCTCGATAACGAGTCATTCGCCGTGTGTCATTGCCCAGGCTCATGAACTCCTCTGATCTAGCATGGATAATCTTCGGCGACCTCAGATAGATTACCACAAGGTTAATTACCTTGCTTCTATTGCCGATTCGATTTCGAATAATATTATTATGCGACGATTTCTTGATCGTTAACAAAGAATCGCTAACCTTTAACGGAAAAGGCCTTGGAACCTGCATCAAAGATCTCCCTCTAATGGAGTGCTTGATTTCGCGAACTCTTCTTCTTCTTCTTAATATTATTAGGGCTTTAGAGAATACCACCATGGATTTATACATGTTATATTGATGATGTGGACGTAAGAAAGAGTCCAACCATCTACAAAGGGGAATGCTTAGAAAAAGGGTGATTTTCCCGATATATCACCGTTGAACAGTATATTTCTCGATCTAACACCCTTTGCAGAAAGGCGCGGCCCCTGCAACGCGCTTTACACTGATTTGGCGCCACGTGGGGTAAGGCGCCCCCTGCAGCGCGCCTTATGCTGACATGGTATACACGTGTGTAAAACGTGGCCCCGGGGGCGTGCCTTAGGCCACCTAGGAGTATAGCGCAGGGCAGGGGCAGCGCCTTACCTTTAACACAATTATTAGGCGCGGTGCAGGTACCGCATCTTGTAGCTCTTCCCGGCTATAAATACCCTTTCCCCGGGGTAACTCCTCACATCTCCTCTCGATTAGAAAAAAATTAATACAACAATCCAACAATCTTCTCATATTTAATTCAGAAGTTCGTGCGAGCTTTCGTTATAAGGTAATTTTGTGATAAATTTTTTTTATTATACTTATTGTTTATTATGATTATTTGAAAAAATATTATACTAATTGTTGTCAATTAATTTATGTGTTTGTAAAATTAGAAAGCGGGAATATACGTCGAAATAGTTTTGCGGTACAGGTAATAATATAAAATTATATTATTTAAATTATATACGTTTATCTGTAAAAAATTTATTGTGTTATATTTTCGTTCATATATTATTTATTTAATCAGCATTGTTTCAGTTGTTTTTTTTTGCAGATATAATATTGCCGCACTTTTAAACTCAAAGAATGGTGCGACTTTCAGCTATTGTTTATTATGATGGAGAAATTCGAGAAGATGAAATCGGCGTTGTTTTCGTATCAAATGAGCGTGTTAAAATATCATTGAAGAGAAACATAACTCTTGAGGAGCTGATAACGAAGATTTCGAGGAAGATTCATGTTGGAAGTAGTAGAAGAATGTCGTTGTTGCAGTACAGATTTCTAACATCATTATTGTCATTAACTTATACAGCGTTCGAACTTTTGAACAATGATAATGTTGAAATGATGGTTGAAGATCAAAGTAATTATTCAGACGCTGATATTGAGATGTATGCAAATTTTATTCAAGTGTGTGCTGTTCGGGGTCAATCATTTAGCTCTCACTATAGGTTGGCTGAACAAGTTGATCAAGTTGACAGCTGGACGACAGTAATGTGTAATGATTTTAATGTCATAATGGGGAGACATTCATCCGCAACTCCTTACGATATGTACCGAGGTGGGTCGACGAACAATCCGTATGGCAACATCGCGTCCAGTTCAAGAGGAAGGCATTCATCTGCAAATCCCTTTGACATTAATATGGAGATGTCATCGACGCAACAATCTGTGCAGTTTCCATTTGACACGATGGCAAGCTCCAGGGGGAGGCGTTCGACTGTGAGCTTTTTCGATCTGAATGTCGATATGCCTTCCAGTTCAAGGGGAAGGCGTGCAAGTAGTAGGTTCTTCGACCTAAATGTGGAGAGCATGGAGGAATTATCATCTCCACCAGAAGAACCGCTTCGTGAGCCTGGTGCGGATGGTGCTGAGACTGGATTATTCATTCACCTAGAATCACCGCAATTCAACTCCGATGATGATGATGATGTGGATGAAGTTCCAGCAAATTTGGCAAAAATTGACCCTCCAACACACATGTATGAAGCTGATTATAGTGCAATGTATGGGCCAGAATTTGTGGATATGCCTCATCTCGGTGACTATGGATATTACTCATCAATAAATATGGTAAGTTATACTTAGGCATGGAGTTTTCAAGCAAAAAAGAAGATGATAACTATAAAAAATTACAATATCTATAATTCTATTCAATCGAGAGTCGACCGCTCCACGACAGAAAAATATGTATGCTATTGTGCCCGACGCAAAAACGGATGCAATTGGATAGTTCGTGTATCGAAGAGGAAGAAGAAAAACAACAAATGGGAACTAACAGTATACAACGATCCTCACACATGTTGTACTGGAGGGGTCAACCAAGATCATCCTAACTTGGACTCTGAAGTGATATGCCAAGCCATCATGCCCAAGCTCTCATATAGTTGTTGCTGTGTTGATTTCAGCTATACAATCGCAGTATATATACACTGTCTCTTATAAAAAAGCTTGGTTGGCAAAACAAAATGACATTGCCAAACTTCATGGCAAATGGGATACATCTTACAACGAACTTCCAGGCTGGTTTAAACTGGTGCGGAGGTTGAATCCTGGGACAATTGTGGAATTTGAAACCTCCTATGCATACCATAATGATCGAGTTCTCCGCGATCGATGCCAATTCTACCAGGTTTTTTGGACTTACCCTCAGTGCGTTAATGTTGTCAAATACTGCAAACCTGTGGTCCAGATTGACGGGACTTTCTTGTATGGAAAATACAAGAAAGTTTTATTATTAGCAGTTGTCCAAGATGCCAATCGCAACATTCTTCCAATTGTTTTTTCTCTTGTCAAAGGAGAAGATACAGGTTCTTGGGCTTTTTTCCTCAGAAATTTACATGCACATGTTATCATGAGGGAAAAAATATGTGTTATTTCAGATCGCGGAGCTGGGATCAAAGCAGCAATGGATTCTTTGGGTCCAATGTGGCAACCAACCTTTGTCCAACATAGGTATTGTCTCTGACACATTGCTGTGAACTACCATGGAAGATACAAGAAGAATGATGAGCATCAATTACTTGTGCGCATGGGTAAGTGAAACTGATGTAGTTTGTTTTCTTTTGATCCTTTTGATCATGTTAGTAAGTTATACATTTTTTGATCAGGTTACGAACTACTTCCTCAAATCTTTGAATCAATGCTTCAAGATTTGCGGGCGAAAAACGAGGAAGGATACGATTACATCAGCCTCATCGATAAAGAAATGTGGACGAACGCATATGATGGTGGATATCGATACGGACACATGACGACCAACTTGACAGAGGCAATCAATTCAACCTTAAAGGGTGTACGTCACTTACCTGTAGCGGCTTTGGTAAAGACTACATATATTCGTTTGGGGGAACTTTTTGCGAAGCTCGAGGGACAAGCTAAAACCTGGATGCAAGGCGGTCATGTGTATCCCCCTAGATTAGTTGCAGATCTACATAAAAAATTGATTCATCAAATGGGATGTCTGTAACAAGTTTCTCTAGAAGACATAAAATGTTTCGTGTCACAGAGTTGTTGCGACCTCTTCA